GTGTATGAATGTTTGTATGTATATATATATATATGTATGTATGCATGTGTATGTTATGTGAAAGAAGGAGCAGACTGATTTTGTGTAAGTGAGAGAGTGATGTGTACAGAAAAATGAGTGTGTATGCATGTAACCATGTGCAGTAAAGGAAATGGACAACCATTTTTTCTTATAGGATTTTGCTTTTCTTTCAATATCTTTTTCTTATAAAGTCATGTTTTCACATTTCATATAAGGATTGATTTATGGAGAAAAGTGTATGGTTCTTGTGTTTGATGAAGGAATCATTATTTTCCTATTTTGATTCTTTATTTCCCCATATCAAAGAACTTCGGAAGAATGTGATTGATAAATCTTAGGTCTTTTTTACGTAGAAGAGAACTGATCTACATGTTACTTTTAATTTCATATATTATTTCACGTACTAGTGCTGCTTTGTCTATCAGTGCATTTTAAATATGACTCCAGATTTAAAGTGTGTTGTTTTTCAAATAGTCTCTCTCTTCTTTTGTACTGTGCTTTTTCTTTCCCTTCATCTGAGCTACCCTTTGCTTCAAATTTACTTGGTAGGGAACTTTTTCTAAACATCACTTGTATGTGTGAGGAATTTGATTTCTATTAAGGTCAATTTATCTAAAATGTACAGTGAGTGAGCGTTATTTGTGGTATTTTTAGCAGAGGGTTGAGAAAAAAACTGACAAAATGATAAATCACAATGTTGTTTCTTTGATCTAAAATGCTTTTGAGGTAAATGGAGTTTAAAAGTCTTCTTGAAATTAAAGGATATGGTTGTAATTTCAATTTTAACTTTAACTATTTCAACTGTTAATCCAATCCATAAAAGTTGCACCAAAAATTGTTTTTTGTATCTATTGGCATAAAAAAGTAGCCACACTTCTTGACTGTACAGTAAAAGTAGAAATTTAGGTATTGAATTTTCATACAGTATATTTATATTTGACTTTTCATATTAGAATATTCCAGATTTAAAATAATAATATAGATATTCTAGAAATGCATGGAAAAAAATTCTCCCCCCAGAAAAGATTTTGCTCTCCTTGAATATTATGATTTAGTATCTAAGGGAGAAATACTTTGAATTTCATTTATTGTTGATTCTAAGAAATGTGAACTACATTTAGAGGTTTTAGGCTGAAATAAATAAAATACTAAACATTTATGAAAAATGCTATACAAAGGAAGAAGCTGGATATAACATTATGATATAATTTCAATTTGTTATGATGAAAACGGTACCTAGATTATATAAATGAAGCTAGATTAATATCTGAGGAAACATATAATTGATTATACATCTTTTTGTTGTAATTAGAGAAATTCCAGTTGAGAAAGCCAAAATAATTTAATATTTTATATTTGTTCCTATTTATTATTATTTTTGTTGATACTATTATTGGTATTGGGTATGGCTTATCATTATTATTATCATTAATATTTTGCATATTATTATTATTGTTGTTGTTTATTTTATTATTATTATTATTGTTATTATTGTTTTTATTATTGTTATTATGAATAATTATATTATTACTATTATTGTTATTATTGTTGTTGTTGTTTCTGTTGCCACTGTCATTATTATTATTATTATTATTATTATTATTATTATTATTATTATTATATTATTATTATTATTATTGTTATTGTTATTATTATTGTTATTATTTTTATTGTCATCATCATCATCATCATTATATTTTGTTATTGTTATTTTTCATATTATTATTTTTATTATTATTATTGTTATCACTATTGTTATTATAACTAATTGAAAGTGGTATTATTATTGTTATTATTATTATTATTATTAATGTTATTATTATTAATATTATTATTATTGTTATTATTGATATTAATATTATTGTTATTATTATTATTATTGCTGTTATTATTATTATTATTGCTCTTCTTATTATTATTATCATTATTATTATTATTATCATCACATCATCATCATCATCATCATCATTATTATCATTATTATAACCATTGTAGTTATTTTTATTATCACCATCACCATCATCATCATCATCATCATAAATCATCTTCATCCCCCTTTTTTTGCTGTACAAAGAGTTGTATTTCAGATATGATATGATTTACATTAATGAATTAATGGTACCCAACAAAATGATTTTAACATTGAGTCATTTACAATCATTTATCTGTTATTACAGTGATAATATGCTTCATTGTCCTTGGTTCTCCTTATATTGACCGTTAAATATCTTTCATTTTTTACATATTCTTACACATGCACACGCACACGTATACCACACACGCACACACACATGTACATGCACACACACACACGTACATGCACACACACACACACACACACACACACACACACACACACACACACACACACACACACACACACACACACACACACACACACACACACACAACACACACACACACACAATGAAGCAGACAAACACATTTTGCATATATTACCATTATGATATTGTTTCAGATTCATTCAGATTATTTTCTTTTATCTGGGTGTAATTTAGAGTGCTAGAAATGGCAGCATAATAACTCATCTTTTAATAGTGTACTTTATCATTCTGCAGGAAATCATGACTCTATGAATGGAATGCTTTGTAATATAAAAACTGGATATTGTGTTTCCCAAAGAAAGATGAGAAAAGATAAGGAAAAAGATAAGGAGGTCTTCCAGCGTATGAAATATGTATAGGTTCTTATAAAAGGACAAGAAGTATAAGAAAAAAGATTTTGACCTGCACATGGAATAAAGTCAGCTTTTGAAAAGAAGAGAGAGAAATGAACCACTTATAGAATTTTACCAATGTGTGAACTATTATTAGCTTAAATATAAAAGAAAGAAATAGACAAATAGAATATGATTTATACCAGTATCTTACTTGCAGACGTTGTGGGTGAAACACCAGTGGAGGTTGATAGTGGTGGAACGCTGGGCGGCGGAAGTATACCTGGGGAAGACGACTTGAGGTTAGACCGAAGAGAACTGAAGAGCGAGCCGGGTGACGCCATGACGGAAGTGTACAGTGAATCCTCCGAGATAAGCACCGATCCGCAATCTCACTCGGGTGAGGCCCTGGATCCACGGCAGTCTGTAATGTACCCTTTAGGTTAGTGCTGTATGTCATGCAGGCATATATATATATTTATTTATCTTTTTATTTATTTGGTTCTTTTTCTTTTTCTTTTTCTCCAAGTTCTTTGTTATCTTTTCCTCTTATAGTGTATGATGAGGTGAATTTTTGATTGGGACTTTGGTGTTGGTAAGTAAGAATGACATTTGAAATGAGATTTTATTTAGAAGAGTGGATGGAGTCAAAAGTGAGAAATTATGTGACATTTTGCACTTGGCTTGTAACCTAGATTTTTTTCTCTCTCAAATGAGCAATACTTTTCTGTGATCGGCTTTTATGTATATTTTATATTTTGATTATGTTTTCTGGCTGATGATTATGATTTGGATTCTAGAAATATGCACTGAATGACTTGAACATATGTCATGTTTTAATTTTTCTCTTTTTTTATATACAGATAAAAAGTAATTTACTAGTATTGATATCCATTTAACGTAAAAAGCTATCAGTCTGTACATTTTAGTGCATCTAAATATTAAAGAAAAACTTACTTTGAACTGTAATGTTTTGAGAAGGATAGAATTACTTGGGAATGTTAGAAAGTTATTATTAATTACATGCCGGTTTTGTTAACTGTGATTAAGATAATTATGAAAATTATTTGGTTTGGAAGATAGATAATACTTTGCTTTTTATAATATGATCTTTTTGAATAGCTAAAGCTTTGATACTTAAAACGACTTCAAAAATATTAATTACAATTTTTTCTGTATTTGGGAAAAGCAAAAATGTATTATAGAATTTTAAAGCAATTTGTTTTTTTTTGTAATAAGGTCTCACTAGTTGAATAAGTTTATATGATTTTAATTCATATCCATTCATCTATAATTTTCTGCTAAAGATTAAAAGTGAAAATATGTGGAATGGAAATGGTTGACTTTATTTTTTATTCACCCTTGTTCTAGATTTGACTTCAATACAAAAAGAAACATGATAAAGTTATTCCTATGTAATGAAGACTAACTTAAAATTATTTTTACCTATGACATTTGCTTTGCATACAATTGTTACATATGTAAATCCTTATTTGATTCTCTTTACATTTTCTCTGTCATTATCATCATTAAGCCTTGCATTACATCACACTTACTATTCTGTTCTTATTTATTATTATTGATAGTAGTAGTAGTAGTAGTAGTGGTAGTAGTTGTATTAATAGTTATATTGTTATAATAAATTACTGAAACCATTTTGTAGAGGGAAGAGAGCTGAGTAATAAATCTTTATAGACCATTTCTGTAGACTGTGATGTTTGTAAGAAGAAATAAGTAACAGTTTTTTTTTTCAACTAAATTTAGCACTGCAAACCAAACTAAATATAAATGAATGATGTGGCCTTAAAGAAAAATATTCAACAACATGAGCAATATTCATAAAAAAAAATATTATAATGAAAGCACAGAAATATTAACAACTTTTATTTGGTATATGTTGTTGATATTGATCTGAAAATATAAAACAGTAAAGTGATATAGATATTTACTGCAATTGTAGGTATATGAGATAGTTGCAGATAGAAGGATGATAAAAAGCTTATAGAATGATTATCGTGATTACCTTACTTTTCTCCTTTTACCCTCTTTATTGGCATTGTTATTAGTCCTTGTCTTCTCACTGTTCTCTTTCTCATCTATTTTCTTCCCACCCTTATGTCCTCCTGCTTTTGCCTTGTCATCTTTGTCATTGTGGTCCTCCTCCTCCTCCTCCCCTTCTTCTTCCTCCTCTTCCTCCTCCTTCTCTCTCCTCTTCCTCTTCCTCTTCTCTTCCTCCTCCTCCTCCTCTCCTCTCCTCTTTTTGATCCTCCTCTTCTTGCTCTTCTTTTTCATATTTTTCTTCCTCATCCTCTTCCTCTTCCACTTCCACTTCCTCCTCTATGTCCTCTTCTCTTCCCCTCCTCTTGTCTATCCTTCTCCTCCTCCTCCTCCTCTCCTTCTTCTGACTTTTCCTCAATCATCTTAAATCTTTATCTATTGTCCCTTGAATTTTGCAAGGATTAGGCTTGGAAAAGATTAATAATGATCGGTATTATTAGATAAGAATTTATTCTATTCTTAAATGAACTGAAGAAAAGAAATATAGTATTGCCTAATGTTAATGAATAGACAAAAAAGTACTGAATTTTTGTTTTGATATTGATTGTCTGCTTGTTCTGCAAAAAAGACATGTTTTGAAAGATTCACTAAGTTTCGTACACCAAAGAAGTCTTATTTCATTGTTATATTTTAGATAGGAGTATCATTAGATAGCAAAGTTGAAAATGGTCACAATTATCCCTTACATATGAATAAACTTGGGGATTGCCTCTGAATATGAAAGTAGAGTACATATAGAATTATTTTTATCAAATCAAAAAATAAAATGTGTATTTAGATGTACTTATAATATATATGTATAGATGGTAAAAAGGTATTGATAGACCAGGATGTAACTCGCACAGTGTGTGGAAGGGGGATGTGGGGGGAGGAAAAGATTGAAGGTTTGCCAAGATGAAATATGCCATGCAGGACCAGAATTACTATTTCACATTTACATTCACAAAAAGAGGAAAGTGGGAAAATGCAACCCTATGATTAGCTTAAGCAGAGTAGTGAATATAAAGGAAATGAGAGTATGGAGAGTAATATCATAGCAGAAGGAAAATTGCCAAACAGTTCTACTGATGTTTGTGGACACTACATGTGTCTCATTCATATTAAGATAAAGATCCCACCAGTTTTTGACAGGCCTTTCACGATCATGACAAATAGGAATGGCAAGTAGAACTGTAGGGATTGATTTATTTGTTATTTTTATTATTGTTATTATTATTATTATTATTATTAGATTAAGAAGTACATCTTCCCTCCTCTCTCCCTCTTTCACTATCCTCCTACCTCTCATCTCTCTTCCTTTTTCTCTCCCTCTTCCTCTCCTCCTTCTCCCTCTCCTTCTTACTCTCCTTTTCCCTCACCCTCTCCCTCTCTCCCAATCCCTTTATTCCCAACTCTGCTACTGCCTCTCACTTGCAAATTTTTCTTTAACCCCCTACATATGCCCCCTCCCACTTTCCTCCTCTCCTTCCTTAACCTTCCCCATCTCCTTTGCTTCCCTATTCTCCTCCTTCTCTCCTCCATCCTCTTTTTTCTCTATGAGCCCCCTTTCGTTTTTATATCCCCTCTGTTTCCCCTCCCCTTCCTCTTCCTCATTTCCATTTTCTCTTTTAACCATCTTTTGCTCTCATGCCACTTTTTCTCTTTAGGCTCACTTGGCCTCACATTCTCCCTCTTCCCCTTCTTCTTTAAGTCCTCTTTTTTCTCCCCTTTGTTTCTTCTTTCCCTCTTAGCCTCCTTGTTAACTTTCTCCAAAGGATAGTTGTCCAGTTTGTAAATGTGTATAAACTGATGGTCTAACTACTTTGCGTAGTATACTCGTCCTGTGCTCATATGATGATAATGATAATGATGATAATAATGACAACAATAACAGTAATGACAATAATAATGACAACAATAACAGTATTCACAATAATAATGACAACAATAACAGTAATGAAGATAATAATGACAGCAGTAACAGTAACGACAAAAATAATGATAATGATAATAATGTAGTTAGAATTGTATTCCAATAGGTTCGTAATATTAGATCTTTCTGTGTTTGTGTGTGTGTGTGTGTGTGTCTGTATGTGTCTGTCTGTCTTTTTGTCTGGTTCCTTCTGTAATATAAATATTGTCAATTATTACCCAATTTTACATCAAAATGAAGCAATTACAACTCAGCAATCACATGGAATATGATTTCAGGCATAATGCCTATTTTACATCTAAATGAAGTGACTTCTTCTCTGCAGTCATATGGAATAGGTTTCAGGCATAATGGGCATCATCATCATCATCTTATGATCTGCAGTATTCTACCCTTTTCTATTATATTTTTTTTACAATTACATTTCATGTTAGAGTGAGTTAATATAGGTTCTACTGACTTGAAAATGCTACATGATCTAAAACCACAAAGCTCTTCAATTCAACTTAGATGTTTTGGAAATGTATCAGAATTTGGTGAGGTGAAATATAGCTGTATTAGTGAATGAAGTACTTGGACACACATATGTACATGTAAGTGCAAGTGCAGTACAAGTGCACACATGTACAGTTCACTTCTCTGTTGTGTATGATTAAATCTTCATATTTTCTGAGATAGATATTAATTGTTATTTAAAAAGGAATATAAATTTTATGATTTTAGAATGATATCAGATGTGCTGGTAGAATACAGGGTTCTTATGGATTTCCATACCCTGTCACAATTAAGAATGTGTGAAAGATTACTTTTTTTACAAGTCTTAGAGGGGTTGGTCATGACCTCCCCTACCATTTTTATCCTCCAAAATTCAAGAGGGCTGTGACATTCACAGGAAATTTGTAATATTACCCATAGGTCATCCTGTTACTCAGCAGCTGTGGATATCAGTTTTCCAAGAGAGAAAAAAGAAATCCTTTATATATATGACTGGCTGTTTTGCTGCTGCTTGTGTGTCTGTGTGTGCGTGCATGAGTGTGTGTGTGTGTGTGTCTTTGTTTGTTTTTTGTAGAAGTAAAAGATATTCTATGTAGGAGGGATTGGCAACCACTTCCATAGGAATCTGGACAAGAATAAATTTGTGGGGAAATGTCAGATCCTTATCCAGTATGCCATTACAGTGTAAATGTTGATTTAGAAATTGTTAACACTGGATCTTTATATTTCATCTCACACCATAATCAGAATCCTGTAAATGAATAAGCGCAGCCTTTTCTTCTATGCTCTTGAACCATTCAACTTTTTTTTTATACTTTAAATGGTCCTTTAGCAAAAGTTATTACTGCACATAAGTTATGTTTGACTATGGAAAGTGTTCCAGGAAAAATATCTGAGGGAAGGGGGTTTTAGATGGTGCTTTTAGTTATACAAATATTAGTATTTTAGAGTGAGAACAGTTTATATTTAAGCAGAGAGGATGATGGTCAAAATTGATATTTTCTTTGTCAATTCTCCCACTACTGAAGGGATAATGATCATCTATGGTCATCATGCAGGCAAAGTACAACTATCCATTGTGATGATTTTTCTCTTTATTCTTTTCTTTCTTTTTTGGTTTTCATGACACTTTGGCATATATTTGGTGAAATTAATGATTTTATCACTGCAAGGGGTGTTCAAGGAGCAGTAGGTATATTATGGCAACTCAATTTCAACATGCTATCATGGGGCTTGGGTATTTTGATCTTCATAAAGTTTCTGTTTTCTCTATCATGATGTCGGTATGTCACACTAATATTTAGGAAACATAGTTTGTCTAGCTCATCATCCAAAGTTATGGAGTAGAGCAGGGTGCAGGGACTTAAATAGCAGGGTACAAGAGTTGTAAAGCCACCCCAAATCCATTTTCTTTATCATCTTTTGTTTAGAAAACTGCAAAAATATTGCAATGGAAAAGCAGCCAGCTCTGCAGAGTGCATAAAATTTGTGTTCACAGCTGGTTTCAGCGGGGTGGGAAGGTGAAAATTTTATATTTGGGACCAGATGAAAAATAGCTGGCGGCAAAACCAGCCACAAACGGCAAT